ATTCCAATTTTGTGTTAAATTTGACAGTAATAATAGAAGCTTTACATGGAGACTTCCATGTATTTCTGTGATTAAAAGTAAATGGGAGAGACATCCTTGCATGGGGAAAACCTAAACAGCCATTGAACCCTGTGAGCCAGACACCCCATTATAGCTCACTGACCACATCCCGAACAGTACTTTGTATTCTTTACTTTTTCCAACACTGCTGGCAGTGGCCCTTGCTATAGCCCCAGAAGAAGAAATCAAAGGCAGGTCAGATCTAAAGAATGCAGCAGCCAGGAAATGGGACTCTGTAAGCCAATACACCAATCAGGCAACTATGTACTGTTTATTAAACATTCTTCAAAAAGCCCATTGATCAGTAGGCACAGATCTTGTGGAATGGAACTCAAGAACACAAAACACTTACTTGGGTTTAATCACTACTTTTCTGCCATATCACTCTTGTGCTCCAACTGGCCATCATAAGAGTTATCACTTTTCCCACATGCTACAAAAATGTCTGAATTTCTCCTTCCAGCAGTGTTTCATTTCTCTATGCTGTTTACTTTTTGTTAAATAAATATTTGAAAGCCCTCAGAACATTGGTGTTTACCTGCATTTCTTTAGAAATCAGAACTCTTGAGACACTCGCTGATTAAATGGAAAAACTATTGGAAAGCAATGGCTAAATTTGTAAAGATGGAATTTGAAAGACAGATTACCATGAGTATTTTCCACTGTTTGTAGAGTCTATGGCCATGAAAGTAAAGACACTTCTAATATGACCTTCATATTAACATACACTGAAAATTAAAAGCAAACCATGTTGTCCTCAAATTATGTCAGATAATTTTATCTGGCTTCATTTTTCTGACTAGACATAATTGTTCTGCTTCCTAAAACACTTAATGACGCTTGAACTGTATTATTTTGAATGTTGTAATATTCTTATTCTTCTTCACCACATCAGATTAGGCTCTACAGCCTGTTCTGATTTTGAATTAATTCTCACTTGATGAATCCACAAATTTTGGTATATCACCTTGCACTGAGAATTGGTTCCTCACAAGTCCTCTGCCTACACAGGCAACATGACACAGAAAGACAAAGTCATACAGTCATCTCCCAAGCAGGATTTGAGAACTTGTATGATCCAAAACTGTATGCACCTTACAACTCACAGCCACTGTGATTAGCACAGTATCGACCAAAATTACAACCACAAATACAACTGCTAGTGAATAAATTAAATGTTTCTGTCTTTGTGGTTTAATTTATTTATCCATTTATCCTAGTCATGTTAACAGCCAGCAGAATGACTACATCATTGACAGAATTCAATTCAGTGACTTTTTGTTTCTAACTTTATGAAACAGAATCCTTGTTATGAACCTATCAGCAGCTCAGCTACTCTAGGAATTCCTCACCTTTTCACTTTTTATGAAACTCTAAGGCATGTTACCATGTTAGCACTGGTTTCTGTTTCCAGTCAGAAAAATCCAGTGTACATCGTATTGCTTTAAGATCTACGTATATTACAAGTAGTATTATCCTCCCATCTATGCTTTTGTCTTGTGAGTGGTATTTTCCATTTAGATTTTCTGACTGGAATTTTTAATGCATTTCTCATCCTTGCAATTCAACACCTTAATATTCAGATATAATTACACTGCATAAATGTTCATAAAAATTATCATTTTTTTTCATTTGCCTGAATGTAGGCCTATTTCAAATATGAAATTAAATTCTTATTACAAAATACAAATTGTAAAGAGTCACTTTAAATAACCTTATATATTACATTTTTCTGGGAATCATTTGAGAACCAAGTTTAAAATAAAGAGGATATATGAAAGAAAATTTAAAGGTGCGTACTTTGGAACACTCAGACATGCAAAGTGTTCTTCATATCACATGAAGCAGGTCTTTGTTGCATTAATGCAATCTGAGGTCATTGCTGTAAATTCAATAATTCGTGCTGTAATTATATCTGATATTTTGCATCTTTAGTCATTCTTGACCTAATGTGATCCCAGACATTTTCTGTGCAACATTTTCTTCCAATAATAACCTTAGGTCGTTCTTACATTTATGTGATCCAAGGCCCCATTTTTGCACAACTCAGAACACTTGAATCCCACAAGACCCAATTGCAGAAAATTTTCTTCAAAGTTCACAGAAAGCCAAAAAACAATTTTAAGTGGCTTTTCATTGATTGTTATGTGAAATATATTTAATAAACATACAATTCTGGAGAACAAATCAGAGGGAAATACACTGTATTTGTTGCTGAGTACATGCAATCTTCAGATGCATGTTTCTGTACTTCAGATACAGATATCACATTAACTGGTGGCATACTTCACAAAGACTAAGATTTTATTTTAATTTTCCAAAGAGTCTTAGCCATATCAGGCTTCACAGTTTGTCATTCGAAACTCAGGAATGTCAGTGGTTGGTCTCTGTGGACAAAAGTAGAACAAGAATGTTATATTAATATTCTAAAAAGGCTTTAAGTTGTCATATTACATGATCTTTAAACATTTGCATGTTAGAATCCTTGCAAGAGTACAACTTAATAAGAAAATAATGTACAATGTAATTTTATATTTATATTATTGATATGTGAGCCAGCATTTTGAAGAAACCTAGAGTAATCATTGATCCCCATTACAAAACCAATCACATTCAAAGACTGTAAGTATTAAAAATACATTCTCATAGGTAAGAAAAAATTACATCTTTTGTTTTGTACCTTATTAGTGACTTAAGTAGCCCTGCATAAGTGTAGATTATTACATATGCAGCTCATTAAACTGGAAACAAATTGTAGGATTTGAGGTTTTCACGGCAGTGAGTTTGAAGATGACTGTTTTCTGGGATGTTGAACTGTGTAGTCTGGTAGAAATTTACCGACATTTCACAGGTCCATGCTGCCTCCATCATCATGGAGCATGCAGCATGGACCTCTGAAACATCAGTAAATTTCTACCAGACTACATGGTGCAATAACCCAGAAGACAGCCATCTGGAAACAAATTGCTTGCATGGGAGTCTTTACTGGCTAGTTTAGTCCAATCTGTGGAATCATTACTTCAATGACTTATGTTATTCTGACATTTCAACCAATA